CAAATTGACGGTACTTGTCAGCTTTTATGTGCTGAATGAAAGTAGTAAAGCACATTTTGAACAGCAGAGGGCTCAGACAAGCGCCTTGTAGCACACCACAGCCAACAGTTATGAACGGAGTGCGGAATTCAGAAGTTATCACGGAAGTTTTAAAATCAGTATATAAAATTTTGATAACATTTTTGATGTGGTCAGGAATATGATGGTATTCAAGTATAGATTGAATTAAGTTGTGATGAACTTCACCAAAAGCATTCTTAAGGTCAAGGAGAGTGATGACAATAGCCTGCGAACAGGCTCTCAAGCTGAATTGAGAGCCTTGCATCGTTGACTAATGAATTTGAATATCTGCCCCGTAACGTTCGTTTTTCCAAATATGGAATGTCTATCCATTCCTTATATGGTGTTGTTTACAACTTTCGTGCAAACTAAATTTAGACCATGCAAACTAAATTTAGACCGTACAGTTTATACTGTTTTTCGAAATATAAGATATTGAAGCAAAAGTTTAAATGTTTTAAATACTGTTTTCTCAAAACAGAACATTTCGTGCTTTGAGATAAGATGGCCAAGACCAATTTGATCAGTTAATGTATTTTTTATGCATAGTGCTTGGCAGTTGACATATATAGAGCTCAGCGGAATAATATAAATTATAGGATCTGACCAATGAGAATTTCGCGTCACGATTTGAGACGCAGATATTCAAATTCATTAGTCATCGATGCAGGCTCTCAATTCAGCTTGAGAGCCTGTGCGCAGGCTATGATGACAAGAGATCGTTGTTTAATCCGTGCTTTGTTTATAATATTGGCCATTTGAGCAGTGTGCTCTATAGTACCTGAAAGATTTGGTGTGAAGCCCTTTTTGTATGTTATGTTCAATATAATTATTTGCGGCGAGGAAGGAATACAGTGAATTACGGAGACAGGATGTAAATACTTTCAAAGGAATTGATTCAAGTGTAATAGGTCGGAAATTAGAGGGATCGTTAGCTTCACCTTTTTTATGAATAAGAATGGTACAAGCTCTTTTCCATTCAGCAGGGATGGTACCAGATAACCAGACAGCCCGTATAAGTTCGGTAAGATAAGTTCTAAGGTAAGGACACCGTTTAAAACATATAATTGAGAGCTGATCAAGAGGGCAAGGAGAACCAGATGCTTTCATTTTACGTATTACAGCTGTAATTTGTTGATAGGTTGGGGGGTCAAGGTCAAATTGAATTTGAGGATTACA